ATTTGTGCAAGTTAGACCATTCTTTGAATCACTTTATTGTAGGTGTGCTGTTGTACACACACGCAGTTCATTCCTCTTAAACTAATTATCATATTTTTCAGCCTATAAGTCAACTTTTTTTGCATAATTTGCGTACCCTGTGACTTATACACCGAAGCGACTTATTTATGGAATTTTTCCCATATTTATAAACCAATTTTTGGCTGAGATAGGACCGTTTTCATTCATTCTGACTGAAAATATTGAACACTACCATTGCTAGCCACTAGATGGCACTCAAATAGTATGGCATGCCGTTGCGTCATACAATAGGTAAGAGTGGCTATTAATGGCACAATCAGCTTGCCATACTAAGCCACCTATCGTCAAATCAGCTTCATTTTGCTGCGCCGCCTCAGCGAGTTTGATCTTTGAAGTGCATTTATTAAGGAAAAGTTCAACTGAGACACACCTTTACTATAACGTCGAGCAAACAAATAATTGTTTTTAGGTGGTTATCTTGTTAAATTTCGAAGAAATGCACAGCGAGTCCTCTCGTGCACGCTCCCGCAGCTACAAATCAGCTTTTGAAATGCAGCTGATTTGAAGTAAACTAAAAATTACTACTGCCAACCCAAACTGTACCCGAGTACGCGTTGAACTGTTTGTTGACGATGGATGATTACCACTGGCAGCCATCTTGAAACTACCTGACTCCAAAACGTAATCGGTTAAAGATGCACTTTTATTGATTGCTTTCTGAGCGTGTCATTAAAATTGGTTCGTTCATGAGATATTTTGCTAACACATGAGCGCCTGCTTTTCATGACAGTCGGCGATGACCATCCAGATTGTGAGAGCTGAAGCAAAGCTGATAAATACTTCCACTTTTAGCCGACTGTTTACTTTCTCAAAGGAAGGAAAAATCAAAAACAATTAAAAAAACTCATATAAATATCAATACAAGAAAACAACCCAACAGAACAACAACAGATGTTTTTAGCTTTTATTTTTCTCTTTTATGTTTGGAATTGATTTAAAATACTTTACTTTCCTTCAGTTTATCTCTAATTATTCCACAGATTGTCAAACTCGGTGTTTGATAATAGCTTTTATTAAAGGCTCTTTCTGAACAGAAAATATCTTTATGCTTTTGCAGGTATTGCTTTTTCTTTATGAATATAAAAACTGTCTAGTCCCAGTAGATTCTAGTTCGGTGCCTAAATGTTACTAGTCGTCAGCTGTGTGCCGTATGTTCTTATGGCCCGTTAAATGTTTGGTGACATATTTATCTGTGCACGCACAAGTTTTTGTTCAAAACGGTCCCAGTTTAGTTTCATTTTAGAGAGTTTTGGGAGTTGTTGGGCTGCAAGTCCTTGTCTCTAGTAGACTTGTGAGTATGAATTATTGTTTAAATGAAACTGTTTAAGAGTTTTTCACTTGCCTGTCTGAAGTTATCTGAAGAGAACCAACATTCCACCAAAAATAAGTGAAAAATATCACTATTATTCTGCTATTATAAACTAATTCGAGACATTTATTGTTGAATACATGCCATTTTTTTAAAGGTTAATCTTATAGAGTCACATGGTTGTGTAGACATCTGACAAATGTTGCATGTTCTAGAATTGCGTCGCTCGGGGTGGCTGCATGTTGGAGCAGCTCTGTTACTTTCATTCTGACATTTTGCTTTGGGAAACTTTAATTCATCTTTTTCTGGATGTAAATCACATTTTTGGATGATTGTTTCCTCTTGTATCAGATGCTGTGCAGCTGGAAAGATTTTTACTGAAACTTCTTTAGTTTTGGACATTTATGATGTGTAACCATAACAACAAGGTGTTTTTTGTTTTTTTTTTAAACTGGGAGCAGCTGATTAACATTTCAAAAGCTCAAATAATATCTCAACTACAGCCCCAAATCTCAAATGAGTTGGAAAAAGAGGTGCCGTAGATGCATTCCCGTCTCCTTGCCAGCTGTGCTCAAGTGTCTGACCACTGAGATCTTGGAACTGGCAGGAAACACGGCTCGTGGCAGCAGAAGGACCGGGATCATCCCTCGGCACCTGCAGCTGACTATCCGCAGCAACAAGGAGCTCGGCAGGCTGCTGGGAGGAGTGGCCATCGCTTTGGGAGGAGCTCAGCCCGGCATTCGGGCGGTCCTCCAGTCCGGAGGAACTGGGAGGCCAGTCGAGTCTGGGTGGACGGATCAAACGGCATCTGCGACCAGTTTCTTCAGAGCCACTGTGGTGGACCTTTACAAGAGATCCTTTCTGTCGACAGCCATCAGCATCTATAACATCTTTTAATGAAACGAGGATAAAGAGTTGCATTTAATTTCCCTTTGGGATTAATCAAGTATTTTTGACTTTGAATTGAATTGAAAATGTTCATTGAAAACTCTAAATTTAAGCATGAATACTTTATTCAAACTGCATCTCAACTCAGAGTAATTTGTTTGTTTTTATTGTTCGACAGACCCAACATCCACACTTACGAACATTGTCGAGCTTCATGAATGCGCTGGTTTGCATCACTTCACGTGTCGTAGTTACTTGAATCAAAATAAGTTTGTCCTGATACACAAAGGCACTTTTTATTTGAAATGTTTTTTTGACAGCTTGAGCCACATTCCAACACAAACACATCCTCCAATAAACTGAGGTCATGAAGTGGTGATACCTGTAATAACCTGGTCTCTAACGAAGCTTTTTATTTGACCGTGACTCCATCACCTCAGCGTCTCACGCTCCCGCCTCCCGATCGGTTTCCAGCTCGTCTCCATCGGGTCGTCCACCCGGCTCAGCTCTGAGAAACAAACGCTTTCTACAAAACAAACAAACTTCTCCCTGAGCTCAGCACACAAGCTCTTTATGAAGCATCGAAGCCACCGTTTTTTTTTTTTTTTAATGCCTGTTTCAAACCCCAGATTAAAGCCGGAGTCATGTGCTGCATGTCAATGCTGCTTTTTAAGCTCGGCTTTTCACAGGCTCCAAAAGGAGACTATTGTACATTTTTCGCCTCGGCTCAGGGAAGTTTTTATCTTGGTTTCTGAGGGCACAGCTTGAATTAATCTTTGTGTTTTGACATAAGAACACCATTGTACCCACTGACAAACTGCTTTTGGTGAAAGCTGATTAGCTCGGAGCAGTTTTATGTACTTTCAGACCTCAAAGTGTGTTTTTTAGCTTCAAAGTTACCCCGTTCTTTTGTGGACAGGCCTGCTAAATAAACCATCAATTTTTATTTTTATTGCACATTTCTTTGTTTTGAACAACAGTGAACTCTGGAGGGGGTTGAACAGGAAGTTTGTGTTAGTTTATTCTTTACGAATTAGTTTAATTTTGATCATTTTAACACAAAGATGGATGAAATAACTGTTGAGCAAAGTGGCTCTTAATTGTATGAAAATCACTTTTGAGACAAATGTCAGCAAAAAATAGTGTTTTTATTTAAATAAACAGTGAGTGATCATTTTAATGGTATTTCTGTAGGTAATGTCAGTGTATGAGCACAGCGATGTGTAACTCCTGCTGAGTGAACCACTGATGGGTGTTTTCCTACTTCCTGTTTACTGGAAGTGAAATAATTAATAACTCATGCATATTTGCTGCTTTCAGTCGTGTTAATTATAAGAAACGGTCCAAAACCTTCAGAAACGTTGTCATAAATCATTTTTTTATGTGCACAAAATCACATGAATAGAAAATAATTAATTCATAAATTAATTTAGTTTAATTTACAGAGTGATAAAATCTGGTGTGTGCGTGTATGTGTCCCCCGATCATTTTAGAAAACTAAGCTCTGTAGTCCAACAATGTTCAGTCAGGTCATCTGGACGGCTTCTTTTTTATTTTGCTGAGACGTTTCGTCCTTCATCCAAAGGACTTCATCAGTCCGAGGAGCCACAAACAAGTAACGCACTCCCAAATGATCGGTGGACAAACGCACATACCAACCTTTATCGTGCTGTAAATAAAGCTAAATTAATTTATAAAATAACTATTTTCACCATTTATTTCACAATTTTTATCCTTCATCCAAAGAACTTAATCCTTTGGGTAAAGAACAAAACGTCTCAGCAAAAAAAGAAACCGTCCAGATGACCTGACTGAACATTGTTGGATTTTTACCTGGATTATTGAGCATGAACTTTGATGTCTTGAACCACTTTGGCTATGGCTGCCTCAGAGAAGCTGACGGGGGAGAGGGCGGGCCCCAAAAACCATCTTCTCACCTTCAAACTGTTTTTTTCCACTATGGGACTGTGCTGCTTGTGGAAGCCAGCAGCACTATCCGAAGAGCCACAAGCCAACTGAGTTTGTTTGTGGCTCCTCAGATTGAGGAAGTCCTTTGGATGAAGGATGAAACGTCTCAACAAAAACAGAAACCGTCTAGATGACCTGACTGAAACTTCTTGGATTTTTACCAGGATTATTGAGTATGAACTTTGAAGCTTTGGAGTTTTTATATTGCTTAAAAAATAGTTTTCTATAGATTAATCTGTGGTTGTCAAGGCCACCATTGGCCACCCTCTAGCTCCTCCATTGCACCTGGCACTGGATAAAATTGCTCCCTGCTTTCACCAGGATCCATCACTTTGTGCCACCTCAGCCAATCAAAAGAATCCCCGTCTGTTCTTCTACAGTGTTATTTCTACCCACTTGAATATCTAGCTAAAAATAAAAACATTTAGGTTTACGTGCATTTCCTGTTCAGTAACGGTCCAGAAAAACACTTGTCTTTAAAACTACAAACTTTCACAATTCAAATTCCTCAGCGACGGCTCTCTGTTTTGGTCTTTTGTTTCTTTTTGTTGATAGATTTCATACGTCACTTTTTTTTTTTTACATCAGACAAAACACTTGGAGAGAGACGCCTTTAACAGTTTGATTCTGAAGGACGAACACCAGAACCTGACACTGAGCGTTTATTATTTATACCTGACGTGTCTGGCCAGTTGGAGTGAGACACGATTATCAAATCACGGCAGGAATAAGTTTTGTTTGCTTCCTCCTGCAGGAAACTATCAACTCTCTCCGACCGTCAACATGCCGCAGGACGACACCGTGATCATCGAGGACGACCGGCCGCCGCTCCTCCCATCCAACCTCTCCGACCAGTCGTCCTCCAGCTCCCACGACGATGTGGGATTCGCCGCTGATGTTACGCCGCCGTGGGCCAAAGAGGCGCCTGCTCCAACTGAAAAGTACATTTAAACCTTTTTATTAAACGTCAGCATCACAGCTAGATGCTCCATGTTGGGATGATTTCAAGGTTGAGTCACATTTGACACAACCTGAGTCGGTTAGCTGCCACATGATGGCAAATAATTGACCTTTTTAAAGGTTCTACCTTCTGTTTCCGCTCACAAAGGCTCAGTGTGTCTCTCGGTTGGTTAAAGTAGGAGTTTGTGATTTGTGTGGATTTGGTCTGAAGCAGTCGTCCTTGAAACTGACCTCCCAGCCTGAAGTCCAGCTCCGTGTTCAGACACGGTATAATAAAGTTGGTTGATTGACTATACAACACTAAAAATATTCACGTTTATTACACACCTGTTGAAATGTGGACGTATTATTGTTTCGTCTCTGTCTTTACGTCTATTCTCTTGTCTGGACCATCACTTCTGATCATCGCAAGATAATTTAATGAAACTTGATGCACATGTAGGCCTGTTGCAATAAACAATAAATCAATTAATCGCATGATAAATCAAAAAATTTGACCTCATTTTCATTTAACGTCTTTATCGTCTCTCTCTTTCTACTGAAGACACGGATCAACTCCGGCACTCTTCGCTGACCCCTCCCTTTCTCTTTTCTCTTTAAAATCCATTTTAACCGTCCAAAATTGTTTTTGTATCGTTAAAAGCAGCTAAGCTGAGAAGCTAAGCTACGAGCTAAGCTAACAGGCCGACCTAGGAAAACAACTCCGTCATGTCGAAGCTCCAAAATTCACGTTTGAAACTCGTGCCTTTGTGTAAAAAGTTGTTTTTCTCTGCAAAAAGAAGCCGAGAACTTGTTTACTGATTTTTTTATTTAAAGCTTTATGTGACAAATGCTATGCTAAAGAGCTCAAACCACACTGAGTGTCTACCATTTTGAGAACCGAAAAACAGGAGAGACAGCCCATGTCACGTCAAGGAGCCTCCCTCCCACTTTTCTTAAAGCGACACGCTGCTCACTCCCTCACTATCCATTCTTCAGTTCAAACAGTCTTATACTGCCATCCAGTGGTCAAAAAAGATACTACACGCAAAAATTAACCAACATTTCTTCTTAAATTTGACAATAATAACTAATTATTGTCAAATTTCAAACAATATTATCGTTTATCGCAATAATTTCTGAGACAATTAATCACACGGCAAAATTTGTTATCGTGACAGGCCTGTGCACATGTGCATCAAGGCTAGACGGAGTGTCGCGTACGCATTTCATCACCACGGGTGCAAGGTCACTGTTCAAAGTCAAAGAGTTAAGACAATGTCTTTGCTTGTCTGGACCATAACTTTTGATTCGCTCAAGATGATTTAACAAAATTATGAATTTTTACCCTCCACTAGACAGCACATTGCGTAATCTTTTCTTGACCTCAGGTTCAAGGTCAAAGTTAAAATAAGGCCTTTGCTTGAATGATATTCTCAAGATAATTTAACAAACTTTATACACATTATGGAAGGTCTCTGCTTATTCTCTGCAATAGATTGCTCTACTGCTGTTGAATAGTTTGTCGACGGACGTATAATGAGCTGTTTGCGGTACTTTCGCTCCTATTTCCATCCAGTCCAACGTTTTAACGTTAATTGAACGTTTAATAGAGTTGATCTGTTGCACAACTTTCTCATATTTAAGATGCTGAAATGACTTAGACGTTGTTACATTTATAACAAAAAGCTAATTAAAAAGTTCATGGCTGCTCATTCACGGATTTCCATTTGTTTTGGCCGCAAGTTCACTTTAGTAAGAATAACTGAAGTCCATCTCATGAGCTCCACCTGTTCCACCTTTGCTGCAGCTCTCTGGGTCCAGATGAAAACCATCCCGACGGAGCGTTCCAGAGAGAAGGATTCGGACGCCAGAGCATGTCTGAGAAACGCACCAAGCAGTTCGGAGACGCCACGCAGCTGGAGATCATTAAGACGCGCAAGTCCAAGAGCATGGATCTAGGTACAGAACTTCCATTTGTCCTCCGGTGTTTCAGCTTCACTTTAAAGCTCTTCCAGCTGTAAAAAGTCCATCTGCATCTGGAACTACATAACATATTTTTTATTTTTTTACATCACTTATACAAACACATGTTCCATCCTGCAGCGTAAACGCAGTCATTGTCAGTGGATTGATTTGAAAAATGAACTTTACAACATGAAGAAGCTTGTGACTGATACAAGATAAACCTTAACTATTACATTCATATCTAAATCAAGAGCTTAATTAAAAATAACTTCAAACATCATTTGACCCAAAGTATCAAAAATAACTAGTTTACAGCGTCAAAACGGTGAAACGTGAAAACAGATTTCTTAATCTTGTCATTTTCAGTAATAATGAGCAAATTTACACCACATGGCAAAAGACATTTTGTTAAATTTGTTAAAAAATATTAATAAAATACCTTTTTTTTCTTTCCGTATCAAAGAAATTTAAGCTATTTGCATTAAATAAATAAAATCGGTGTGCTAAAGTCAGTACACCCAGTCTGAGATCTGATGTCACCTTGAACACACTTCCCTGCACGTTCCCCTCCTTTCAGACTGTTTTTAAAGTTAAACGTATTCCACCCCCTCTTTTCTTCCCTCTCTCGGTATAAACACAGACTTCATCTATCGCCAAAGTCAAGAACTTCACTGTGTTGATTCACCTTGAAATGCCTTCAAACAATTGCTGATTGCTTTGGCTGCAACAAGCCCTCTGCCTGCACCCTCTCTGTAATCATATCTAATCTTCTCCACCAGATTGCTGCTGTGTTGATATCTCAACAGGTCTGATTGCTATTCTCAAACTATATCTTAAAAAAAAAGAACCTCTCCTCTTTGTCTCGCATGGCGTCTGATCCTAATTGAGCAGAAGCTCGTTGTGATGTTTGCAGCACTACCTGGATGTTGCATGTGGAATGCCACCAGCACTCACTTAACCCCAAATGTTTGTATCCCTCCTCTTTTCTCCTCCTTCCTTTAACAGTAGCCGACGAGATTAACCTCACACCTCGTCCCGACATCAACTCAGGTAAGGACCGGTGCACTTAAAAACTTCTTCGCTGCAACCAGCCTCACGTTTTACCTCACAGGTTCACGTCACTGATGTTGTATTGGAATGTCGTGTTTGGATCCTGAAAAAGAACAATTTTCTTTAAGAAGGATGCTACGATTTGAATATGACGGGTTCCTACAGGCGGCATCGCGCTGAGCTGTAACAGTTTGGTAGAAAAACGTCCTCAAAGTTACAGATGTTGCAGAAAAACCATCTCGCTGTATCTTACTCGCTCGAAAGGAGCCACGCTCGACAGCAGCAGATTTTTAACTGGTCTTTTACTTGCGAGAACAGATTTTCAGCACAGTTTATACAGGAAGTGCACACAAATACCAGTCACGAGAATCTGCCACGCACGAGCAGCGTGTGAAGCTTGTTTTTATACACTTATCAGTTCAGCCGAGCTCTCAGACTCGGAGGCGTCCTTGAAGTGACATTGTTTCTTCTAACATTATACAAGGAAGGTGCCCCGCTCGATTAACAGAACCAAGTGCCTTGCCTGACATAGCGCTAAGCTAGCAGTGCACGAAACAGAGGTGCTAGCTAAAAAGCTACAGAGGTTAAAAAAAAAAACCACGCCCCACATAGACAAAAAATATTGGGAGAGATGAGCGTCCTGTTACCTAAGGGAAACACTGTAACTCCAAACGTATGGTTCGTGGGAAGATAGGGCTGGGCGATAATTCGATATTGATATATATCACGATATACTTTTATTCAGTAACTGTGATATGAGTTTTAAGTGGTTCGGCTATTTAAGATCCAATAAACTGCAGGTTTGTGCTGCAGAATGCGTCAGAGTCGTTCCAACTAGCGGTGGGGACACGTCTAACTTGTTCCATCTGAAGAGTTTCTACTCGATAGAAGATGATGAGAGTCAGAAGATGAGAGTCAGAAGATGAAGCTCAATAAAGTTTGAGTCAACGTGTCCCTGAAACAAACCCCACCCCACCCCCCCAGCTGTATCAAGAGAAACACGTTCAGCAAACGTCTGTTAGTTTAGAGTTATGTTGTTGTTTACAGTTCAAACTATTAATATTGTCAAAGTTGAGAGGTTTTTTGTTTATTTGACGGTGATTTCAAATTTCTTTGAAATCTAAATACAAATAAAAGGTGAACATTAATTTATTTGTACAGTTTGCAGTTTTTCTGAGGCTTTTATATTGTTTATATCGATATGGGAATTATATTGTTATCGACCGAAATTAAGAAATATATTGTGATAAAAGTTTTGGTCATAACGTCCAGCCCTATGAGAGTTAACATTCTCAGCCATAGTTGTTAAAAACATCCATAAACTTTGACCAAAAACTCCCTAACAGTGGAAAATCAAGAAAAATTAGCTGCATTATGAATATATTTTTATTATTATTATTTACAGCCTTTGTGTGCTCATGTTGCCAAACTGTATCGTTGGTGGCGCACATGATTTTGTTGCTCATCTGCCCACCGGTTTGTTCCCACCTTGCCAGCTGCCCCCACGTTTAGGATTTAATCTGTTCTAGTTCACTTTAGCAATAATTACATGCAGATATGAACCAGTTTTTAACCCATTCATTGTCTTTACACACGTCACGGGTGGCGTTGGGTCCATCACGGGGCCACAGTTTTCTTTTATTATTTTTTTTATCTCCTGCTCAGTTTTGTTTAGTCATTAAATCTAAAACAGATGAATAATGTATTTGGTAGCATTTGAAATATTTTAGGAATCCGTTCTAATTGCAGAAACAGGAATTTTCATCTACAAAGCCCGTCTTTATAGAAAACAGGATGTGACACAAATCGTTCGCCGACAGCCGTTTAATCGCATGCGTTGATGTAGACGTGTAAATTCTGCAGCGAGCTTGCAGGTTCCCCCCACTGTTCTGCACCTTTAGTACCAGGTTCGCCCCTGACGAGGCACGTTTTTCAGCGTGCAGAGTGACGCCTCGCTGCAGTCCAAGGTCCAACACAGTTACCAGCAGCGGTTGTGTGACTACAGATTTGATTTTCTTTCATTTGGCTCGGATGTGGCTGAGGCGCTAATTGTTTTTTGCGTGCGATGGAAGAAGGCGAGCAGAGGAAGCTCTCTTGTCCTTGGTGAGGGCGGTGAGCTGACGACGAGCCATCCGTCACTGTCGGTTCTTGTGTATTTTCGCTGTCGCCTTGACTGAATCAAACACGGACCTCTGAAATCAGCAGCTTGAACTCCAGGATGGATGCTGAGACATTCAGAGGAACAGAAGCGTGTGAGCTTTAAACACAAGGAGGGTGCTTGTTGCAGTTTACATACAGAAACGGCAGAAAAAATGTGTGAAACTGTGAGAAAAAACAAACTGACATGTTGATTAGTAGTTTCGTACTTTTGTCGAAACCTTCTTAACGGTGTGTGGGCAGCCATCAGACGGAGAGGAGTTTGGTTCCAAGTTTGTGTCAGGAAGATTGAAGGAGTAAAATAAATTTATGTAGAAGGTGCATCTGCCAATGGTGGCAGCAGAGTCAGCTGTGCTTTTATATAATCTGATCAGAGTCGGGAATACTCTCATAAATACAGTCCCTTGTTTATCGTGAGGGATCTGTACCCTGAAGCCCCGCGATAAGTGAAAAACCGCAAAGTAGGAGTAGTAGTACAAGTAGTAAGTAGTAGTTTATTTTAGTATTTATATATATAAAGGTGTTGTAAACTCTTCCCACACTCTTGCAATATTCTAAACAATGTTTCTAAACTAAACGCTCTAAAAGAGATTTCAGCTCCCTGCCTCCTCTGCTCTTTGCCACCTGCAAGCGCTCTTGGCCACGCCCACTTCTCGGCTCTGCACAGAGAGCAGCTGATCAGCTGCAGCAGGAAGTTTATCCTGCAGTATGGACTGCACAAAGGTGCAGCAGGTGCTAAATAATTTAAAATAGTTTATTTTAAATTAAAAATTCCGTGCCGATCGTGTGGTTCATCCATCAATCAGCCAGTCGAGTGTCATGTCCAATCTTATTTTCAAAAACCGAGATAGAACGAGCCCGCGATAAATGAACCGCGAAGTGGCGAGGGACTACTGCATGTTTTATATCTCTAATCTGGCCAAAGAAAGCTGTGTTCTTAAACGACGTGCTATATTTAAAATGTAATCTGTGAAATGAATATAGATAAATAGACTTTGTCATTCACACTGTTCAGTACACATCCAACTAAATCTTGTTGCAATGACTCACGATTGGCAGTCGCTCTGATTGCTCTTGCTTTTTTGCTCAGATATGATGCCTCTATGATGCATCAAATGTGTGAAATTTACATTTAATGTGACCCTTCGTGTCGAACCGAAGACTTATAAACAAGCTGGTTTGTTGAGATATAGGCAGCTTTAGTGCGTTGGTTATTTTTTGCCTAAATATGATGAATAACTACCGTATCTGCTGCTCTCTTGTCCAAAAAATAATCCTAAATAATGTTTTGAAGCACTTTTCTGAGCAGTACAAACAAATACCATTTATTTTGAGCAGAAAAAAAATATATTCTTGCAACTTTCCCTGCACAGTTTCAGTTAAAAATACCCATTTTTTTATTACCGGTGCAATGCTTATTATAATTAACCTAATGACTCATGGGATGAACTTATATATAAGATGATCTCATTAAACAGTTCCTGGTAAACAAATCTGATTTTAACTGATGTATAGATTGATGCTTAACTTTATAAAAATGTGTTTTAAATGTTTTTGCCTCATAAATCTTTTTTTTTTTTTTTTTTAAACCTGGACATGGTTTATTTTCACTTTTTGTGCAAAGAATGTCACTTTGTCATTTATTTTTAAAATAAATGATCCCTGGTCCATTTACGAACGTTAAAACACAGTGAGGTACAGCGAGGGCTTGTGTTCTGTTCTGTGATCGGCTCGAGCGTTTATTGACACAAACTGCTGCCACATGTTCTGTGAGATCACTGAAGACGACGCTGGACCGTCGGAGGTGTCCAGAACATTTTCCACGTGTCGTCAGCATCCTGTGAGAAACTGTTCTTTAAGCAGCACAGCAGACGTCTCAGCTGAAGAACTGGGTTCTTTCTTGGAGTTGAATATTTACAATTCATGAAAAATGTGCTTTGAAAAATGGTTTTCCAGAGAAAACTCATCTTCACTGGTCAATATTAAACTGAAGAAAACAATATTTATAAAGAAGTTGGAATTCACCAAAACTAATGTTCTTCTGAAATCCATTAGAACATCGAAGTCATTTCTTATTAATGCAGCTTTTAAAAAAAACACGCTCAAGTCCTGGAATAGTTCTTAAAAACCAGATCAGCGTTTCGCTTTATTTTTATATTTTCATCTAAATTATTTACACAACTTACACGATGGTGTTTGCTAACGAGACAGAGCATTTATAGGTGAATTAAATTATGCTAACAGGTAAAACAGAAGGAATGGAGCATCCCTGAAGGAATACAAACTGCCCACTCTTTTTTGCATGGTCTTTAACCCTCAGAGTATGGGTTAGGCACGACTCTCAGCTACTATCACAGCAATTTGTAGCTTAATATCTGTAATACTGACTGGGAATTACCATTTGTATGTCGTTTTATAAGTAAATTTTGCATTATAGAAAAATATTCTTTCTTATCTTACTCAAAAGGAACCACACTTGACGGCAGGGGAAGATTTTTAACCGTTTTTTTACCGGGTACTTGCAAGGTCAGATTTTCAGCACGGGTTACACAGATGTAAAGAAAGTACACAGAGATATACAGGAAGTACACACAGATAAACAGGAAGTACACAGAAAGCTCAGTCACAAGAATCCGCCACGAGCCGTCTGTGCAGCTTGTTTTTATACTTTTATCAGTTCAGCCGAGCTCACAGACTCGGACGCACCCTTGAAGGGACAGCTTCATGTTGCAGCCCCACTCAGCTCCTCATTCAGCTTTCTACTAACCCAAACATATGGTTCATGGGCAGAGTTAACATTCTCAGCCATAGTAACCTTTGACCATAAATTCCCTAACGGAATC